ACTATAGACTAGACTATAGACTAGACTATAGACTAGACTATAGACTAGACTATAGACTAGACTATAGACTAGACTATAGACTAGACTATAGACTAGACTATAGACTAGACTATAGACTAGACTATAGACTAGACTATAGACTAGACTATAGACTAGACTATAGACTAGACTATAGACTAGACTATAGACTAGACTATAGACTAGACTATAAACTATAGACTAGACTGTAGTCAGGACTATAGACTGACTACAGTCCAAACTATAGTCTAGTCTAGTCTATAGTCTGGACTATAGTCTAGTCTATAGTCCTAACTACAGTGTAGTCTATAGTCTAGTCTTTAGTTTAGTCAATAGTCTAGTCAACAGTCTAGTCTATCGTCTAGTCTATAGTCTAGTCTATGGTCTAGTTTATAGTCTAGTCTATCAATTTTGATATACAGTCTAGTCCATAAGTCTATATTCCAGCTTATAGTCTAGTCTAAAGTATATTATATAGTCTGGAATAAAGTCTAGTCTATAGCCTAGACTATAGTCCAATCTGTAGTCTGGACTATAGTCAAGTCTATACCCTAGACTATAGTCAAGTCTATAGTCTTGCCCATAGTCTATATATATTCTATAGACTAGAGTATAATCCAAATATATTGTAGTCTATAGTCTAGTCTAGTATATAATCTTGACTATTGTCTAGTCTATGTATAATCTGTTTTTTAGTCTGGACTATAGTTTAGTCCAGGGTCTGGACAATACCCTGGCCTAAAGTATGGATTATATTTAGTTAGTTTGAAAGGAGGATGTACATACATATGTACATCAAATCCGAAGAAATACACCTAGGCCTCAATAGCGCCTGTTGTGCGCTCCTTAACCAGTGCCTCAGGTGAGAATCGAACCCACACTTCCGGTCTATCAGACTAGAACACTAACCACTAACCTACCGGAGGTCTGGATTATAGTCTGGCCTTTAGTCTGGACTATAGTATTGCTTATAGTCTGGACTGTACACTAGTCTATAGACATTTCTTTGTCTGGACTATAACCTATTTTATTGTCCGGGCTATAGTCTAGTCAACTGATACATATGTATCTACGAAAATGAATGGACTTAAGTATATAGAAGGAATGTTGAATGGTTTTATTAACTTAATTCTCATAAGCGTTTATATATGAAATCCCACCCGATAATAATAACAAAAACAATTACAATTTAAATAATTTCTTTATTCAATTTTTAATTTTCGGGGGTACATAATAACACATAATAACTACATATTTTTATGTATACAATATTAATGTATGTATTTAAGTTTTTTTATTTTTTATTTATTTATTTCCTTCAACATAAGACTATAATACAGATTTTGTTTTTTTTTTTTAATGAAATGATTTAAAACAAAAAGTTTCTTTGTAACAAACAAGTCAAAGTAAAAAAAAGAAAAACAAACAAACTGAACACTTTTTAAAAAAACGATTTCATTTAAACAAAAAAATAAAAGGCAGAAAATCAAACATCTTTTAGAAACATGTAGTTAAGAATTATCACAGTTTTATGTACAATAGAGCGTGTTTTTCACATTTAGATAAATTTATTTTTTATTAAAATTATTTTGTGATCTTTTGTTTAGTTTAAATTTTCTTTGATTGTGTTGTTGAGTATTTTTTGTTGTTGTTTTTGGAAATAGGCAAGTAATTTAAAAGAAGGCTACATACGACAAAATGATTTTAAAAATATAAAAAAATAATAATATGTATAAGTAAAAAAAAAAATATATAAAATAATTATTTTTAACAAATTGAACAAAGTGTTATTAAACTATTAAACAATAATGTTGTATGTATCTTTTCTTCTTTTTTTATACAGTAAACTACAAACTAAATTTTTTAAAACTAAAGCTACGTTCAGACCTGTAAAATATTTGGTCCAAATATTTGTTATAAAATATTTATAAAGTTGCGTCAAACAAACGCAATATTTATTTCATGTTCAGACTTGAACAAATATTTGATGGCATTGTTTTATCAAACAGTCCAAAAATAATTTGGTTCAAACACACACATGTTTTGCAGCCACAGAATATCGTATATTTTCATGCAAGAAAAAAGCAATTTGGCAATTTGTTTTAATTTAAACTATTTTTATTAGGTTTAAAATTAAATTTTTATAATAAAAGTGTATAATATTAATATATAACACGATTGAAAAAACTTTGTTTGTCGAATCTGAACATAAAATATTTCATGTTAACAAACAGCAATGCGGATGATTTTCATAAAACAAATTGATTTGCTGGCAAATAAATATTTTCTCATTGTTTCATCAATGTGAACACCAAAAGTCAAATAATTTACGTCATTTTAGTAAAATAATTATTTGATCTTGCAAACCAAATGTAAGATCAAACAGCGTCAATGACAGCTGTTCTTTGTTTATTTTCTGAAAAAGAGTGTTATCACCTCATACAAAAATGTAAATAGTCGCTTATATGACTGGTTTTATTTTATTTTTTATAAAATATAAATCTGAGACAAAGTTGTGACATTTAATTGAAATTCAAGCAATTGCGTAAATTAATGATAATTATTATTTTTGTTGTTTGTTTTGTTATTTATTGGTTGGTAACAACATACTATATATAGTTATGCTACATAATATATGTATCTATAGTCTAGTTTGCAGTCTAGTCCAACGGTTCCCAAATTACAATTAAATAAGAGATACTGTTATCTCCAAGTATGAAGTTAGGCCACATTTCATAATTCAAGGACAAGCTTATCGCAGATTTAAGTTTATCAAATTGTAAACAAAAGTGTTCTTGTTTGGAAGGACTAAAATAATATATTTCCGAAACAGAGGTGACTCTTTATTCGTCTTCAATACGTTAATCCAGGTAATTTTAAATATAAATATTCCATTCCGACGTGATACACAGATTTTAACTTGATTTTGTCGACCAATATTATTAAATTAACATCAGAAAATGCGTAAATAGTCAAAACCATGCAGTCAAATTCACAGTACTTTCGCAAAGAGTTCAAGTCACATATTATGCCGATAACGCATTCCACAACAATATCGAAGAAGTTCAACTTTCTTATATTATTTTCCCGAAAAATTAGCTAACATACTCAGTTCACCCGTCTGCAATCGCAAAAAATTTTTGCAACGTGACTCTTTAAGCACATGTCGACGATATTTGATGAAGAAACCTTTTCGTTACCTTAAAGAAAAATGAACGTGAATCATAAAATTAAACATCATGTTAACATTTCAACAATGAAGTCATTCTATCTTCAAAAACAGGCAATTGAAACTTCTCTGAAATATTAATTATTCTCAATGTACGGGAATATTTTATAGAAATGACATATCTACATCTGTTTGACCTTGGGATTTATGGACTATGACAATTTTCGGATGAACAATTACATATTTAGAACAATAAGATATCAAAATATGTGGGGGGGTCCGCGAATTTAAATAAATTCCTCAAGGGGTCCGCGAAGTAAAAACCGGGGGAACCGCTGGTCTAGTCTATAGTCAAGCTATAGTTTAGTCTATAGTCTTGTCTATACTCTAGTTTATAGTATTGTTTATAGTCTAGTCTATAGGTTATAATCTAGTCTATAGTTTAGTAATTAATTGAGAAATTATTTAATTAATTTATTACTCAATTTATTTAAACAATTATTTATTATATTAATGGATATAAAAATATATTAATAATAAACAATTCTCTATAATTTTCAATTTTATAGATATGTAATTTAATGAAAATTATTTATAATTTGGTTATTTCCGGGCTTATAGCGATTTTTTTGAAATCGCTATAAACCGTTCCAAACAACCAAGGTTTTTCGCTACATTGACTATACTAAATAGCAACAACATGACAGTAAAGATATACCATCTATCTCTTTTCCACTTGCACAAGGTACTGAAATGTAATTTCAATACCTTGTGCAAGTCTATCTATCTCTTTTCCACTTGCACAGGGTATTGAAATGTAATTTCAATACCTAGTGCAAGTCTATCTATCTCTTTTCCACTTGCACAAGGGATTGAAATGTAATTTGTATTTTTTGTGGTAAAATTTTGATGAAAAACAATATTAAATGAAATTTTAGAATATATAGAAGTTATTATTCAATGATATAGCTTTTTAGTAAATATAAACACATATATTTTTGGCTTTTGGTTTGGTTGCGTATTAGCTGTTGTTGTTGTTGTTATGTTCGTCTTTGCCTGCAAACAAAATCTTGTTTTTTTACTGTTTTATCCGTCAATTGTTTTACGAAATTATTTGTTGTAATGTGAACACCGGGCAAACAAACTTTTACTATTTGTATTGAATTGTGTTTGGCTTTGTTTTTTCAAACAAAACGTCAAAATAGAAATACTCATTTTAAGCACATTATGAAATAAAAATGTATTTAATTTTTTGTTTTTAGGCAGAAATTTCTATGAAATCGTAAAAAATATTATTAAATAGTTTTTTTTAACGTTTAACAAAAATATTTCAATTTTGGTGTTCACATTAAGAAAATATTTGTAGGTTGACAAATAAAAATGTTTCACGGAAAACAGCTGATATTTTGTTTGCTCTTCAAAAATATTTTGTGTTCACATTACAGCCAACAAATATTTGATAAAAAACGTCAAATATTTGATAGGTGTGAACGTACCTTAAGTTAATAGTAGTAGATATAGAGCAACCATGCAAATAAATCTGGTGTGCATTTGGGGCAAAAGGAATTGCTTAGAGGAGATGCCAATAGGAGTATTTTTGTTTATTAATTTTTGAGTATGAGTATTAAAAGGCATTTTCTTAAAAAAAGGACTAATGCACTTGCAATTGGTTTTAGATTGTTTCAAAGACCAAATATTTATAGAGTAGAAACTATTGAAATTTCGTTGAAATATTACATACTGTTTGTATATTCTTTAGTGTAAATAAATACTATTTACAGAAATAAAATACAATGCATTTCATGTCCTTTTCTTCTCAATTCTAATTGCACTGGGCAGTGAAAGGATGTCAGTTAATAAAAAAAAGATGTTAAAGTACAATATAAAACCGTAATAACTATTTTTAGGCTGGAGCTTCGGTAGGTACATGACAGCCTTCAACATTCTCTGGCCAATCGCATACATTTTCTTGGGGATTGAATACCAAATTGGCAGGACATGGCATGTGATGTTTGCGTTCTCCCTCACACATATAATAGTGGGTACAATCACTCCAATCTTTATGATAACTAATATGACCATCTTCCTCTTCACAGGTTACCTCATGGGCTAAACAGATAAGAAATCATTTTTAGATTAAAATCTATAGAATCTATATTACAAAACACTTACGATCTTTTGTTGTGTATGCTCCTCTAGGACCGCGAGATTCATAGGGACCATCATATTCCAGCGTTACTTTGTAGTCTTTAAGTTCATCATTAAGGGCATTTAGTAAGGGATATTTTCCATTGCCACAGCGTCCCGTAAAATCATCCATATCAATGGACCAGACCATAATGCCACCAAAACCTTGTTCCTTCAACCATTCCATCTAAAATATTATAAGCAAATTATCTATATAATTCAATATAGGTTTTAACGTTTCAAACTTACCTTTGTTTTAAGGGAACGTTCATCATCAAAGCCCACCCATTGGTTATCACGATAGGCAAATGGTACTTGTTGCTCAGAATCCCACACCAATGTTGTATTATCGGCCGCCAAGAATGAACAGACTTCATAGTAACTGAGGAAACCAGCTTCGTTGGTAAATTTGCCGGGACTACCGCCTCCTGATGCTGGGGCACCAATATCGAATTGTGTTTCGTTTATAAGTTCAAATGAACGACCATAGGTGGGCATACCAATAAGTAGCTTCTCTTTAGGAGCACCTTGTTTCACCCATTCGCGTGCACTGTAATCTACTGTCAATTTCTTTTGATAGCCTGTGGTAGATTCTAGAGGGAACAAAGGTGAATTGTGTCCCACTGTACGCTCCCATTGACCATGGAAATCGTAAGTCATTACATTAATGAAATCCAAATATTTCGAAATTTCTGGTACATCATAACCGGCTGCTATAGCTTCAAAAGAAGCTGGTACTGCCGCAGTCAAGAGCAAACGAGGAAGACCAGAAGATTTTGCCTCACCCTCGAAAGCCACACGCAATTCTCTTAACAAATTAACATAAGCAGCCCGATCATCGGAACCGCGAGGATATTCCCAGTCGACATCAAGACCATTGAATTTATAATCACGTAAAAAATCAATGGCTTCATAAACAAATTGATTCATACGGAACACATTGGAGGTAAGTTCTTTGAAGGGAGTAGAACCAAAAGCCCAGCCGCCTATAGCTAACAAAATTTGTAGATCGGGATTAGTGTCACGTAAGGCTATAACTTGTTCGTAATTATCGGGATCTTCATCGCTATTTTCGGCTAATTTGTGATCCTTCAAGGTAGCAAAAGCATAAACGACATGAGTACATAACTTGGGATTAATGTGTGAAGGTTCAAATTTGCCAGCACCAGGACGTTTTGAGGACCAGCTGGTCAAATAACAGAATACTTGAGCAGGTCGTGCTATTAAAAATAAAAATCAATATTAAAAGAATTCTTTTCGCTTTAGTTGTCATAAAAACTTACAATTTTGATCTTTAGCCACCAAGCCAGATTTGACTTTGTGTTTCTTAACGGGCTTGCGAACCTTAGCAAGAATTTCATCGACGGAAATTTTAATGGGTTCGGGTTTCTCAACCTAATAACAATATAAGTCAAGATTAGTTATAAATTGCATTATTAATTCTAATTTTCCACTCACCTCTTCCTCTTCTAAATCTTCAAAGGTGGCAGCCACTTCAGACCAATTAACATCCTTGGCTTCCTTGCCTCTGGAGATGCCCAACAATTCTTCACGCATAGCGCCAATGAGAGGAAATTTAACATTACCACCACATACTTCGCCCTTAAAGTCATCCATATCAACAGTCCAAACCATGGCACCACCAAAACCATTTGTCTTAATCCAATTCATTTTATTACGAATGGCACGTTCATCATCGAAACCCACCCATTGGTCTCCATCCACCAGATAAGGTACTTTCATTTCATCATCCCATACATAAACGGCACCATTCAAAAGCATTTCACAGATTTCATAATAAGCCAAGAAACCACTTTCTTTAGTGTAAATACCCTCGCGACCACCGCCAGTTGCTGGTGCATTGGGTCCATGTTTGGCTGTATTGGCCAAAGTAAAGGAGCGACCATATGTTGGCATACCAATAATCAACTTCTCCTTAGGAGCTCCCATTTTTACCCACATATTAGCGGCATTATCTACGGACAATTGCTTGCGCCATTCGGAATCTGTGGAAGGAGCATAGAGTGGAGCATTGTGACCAGTTTCACGTTCCCATTTGCCATGGAAATCGTAAGCCATTAAATTAATGAAATCCAAATAACTAGCCACAGCGGGCACATCATAGCCACCACGGACATTGTCGGGACCAACAGGTACGGCAGCAGAAAGCAATAAACGTTGTTTTTTCAATTCCTGAGCCTCAGCTTCAAAAGCTTCTCTCAATTCCTTAAGCAACAAAACAAAGTTTTTCTTATCATCAGAACCTTTAGGATATTCCCAATCCAAATCGAAACCGTCAAAACCACGTTTGCGCAAGAAAGGTATGGCGGAGTAAATGAAGGTTTGACGTGTATAGCGAGTGGCAGCCATTTCTTTGAACTTCTGAGTGCCAAAAGACCAACCGCCCAAAGCCAAGAGAATCTGTTAAAAACCAAAATTATAATTAATATTCTTCAAAAAAGTATTTAAATATTAAAACTTACCTTCAACTTAGGATTAGCCTTCTTCAAAGTCATCATACGATCGTATAAACCGGGCACGGTATCTTTAGTTTCATCATTCGATTCATAAGAACTCAATTTACCCTTTTTCAACCAACCAAATGCGAAAATGATGTGTGTACACAAATCGGCCGGTATATCTTCAGGCATGAATTTACCAATTTTTGGTCTATATTGTGACCAATTTGTATAGTAGCAAACAATTTTCTTTCCTCCATCATCAGCTTTGGTCTTTTTACCCTTGAGACTGGAACCGCTAGCTATGAGGCCTGTATCACCACTGCGTAATTTTGATTTCGAACGTAAACGAGAACGTGTGACGGCCGTCGAGGGTGACGATTCTTGATCTGTTTGTTTCTCTGCCGAACTTTCTGTAGCTTTTTTAGATGATACACGAGTGCTACGTGCATTAGATACAGAAACGGACGAAGAGGATGACTCTTCTGGTGCACTGGTAGGTCTTCTAAGTCTTCTTCTAGTTTTGGCTGGAAGGGTAAGATAATAATGAGAT